TTAACTAACCTCTTCTTCTGTAATCACATAGCTTATTTGGAATATTTTACAGTTGATTTTCCTGGGTTTTTTCGTTCTAAGAGGACATATCTAAGGATTTTGTTGAAAGACAATCAAAATTGATTTGTGAGTTCCGATCTCAAAGTGTTATGCTCTATTTCAGGACGCTTACATGACGCAATCATCGAGATCACCTCTTCAGTAGTTCGCTGTTTTCCGGTTTCGCTTCAAGCGGTGGTTAGACGTTAGTACGGTATGTAAAGATATGATGCTCTAGCGCTGTTATTCATTTAGACAGGGAGTTTTGAACGTCTGAAAACGTTTCTTAAAACTCAGTAGGGTACAGTGGTGAACTGTTGACTGCGATTAGTGTCAAAGTTACGAAGGAAAGAGAGTTTTAAAAGGTAATTATCATTATCGGCTATTGTGTAATTTTCAACTTTGACTGCATTCATTATTCCCAAAGTGCGGGATATATGACCTGAAATTGCTATATAATCGCAAAAATCGATGTGATTTTCGTTCTTAGCTTCAGTTTAGTTTCAAACGTCGAAGGTGGCTACAAAACGAACTTTTTAATTGCGATTTCCTTCGTAATGATTTTAATTTGGTCCATTACATTAATAATTCATTAGTTTATGTGTGTTAGATGCTTTAAATGAATATGACTCCAAAAGGATAAAACCCTTTTCATGCACATGATATTCATGCGAAGAAAATAACGACATTACATAAGAACATGACAGTGTTTTATTGGAACAAAACTGCTAAAATTCAATTGTCTTTCTCTTTCCATCTTGGACGAAGAAACAACGACCACGGCTTATTGTTGTGTGCGAGCACTCGATATTGTAGGATCTTTCGTTACTTGTGGTGTCCCGTTAGGTCCAAGTTAAGACATGTAATTGATGTGGAAGGCAAAGACATCGAGAGGCAATGTAATCTAATATTATAACATTTATTTGAATGGATCTTTAAACGTTGCAACACGGAAATTGTATGTATATCTTAAATTTTTCGAGATTTCGATGTCATACTCAAATTTCCTAAATCTATTCGATTCTGGTCTTTCCTCCTCAATTAAGTTGTGTTTTAATTTCTTTTCCTCTAGAGGTGACTTAGAAGATTTTAAGCGAAAATATGAGCGCTGTGAAATATGAGCGGTGTCTTGAGGTTCACCGTTAACCGTAAAACGGAAAAAATTAGCCGTTAGGCGTAAAAATTGACAAATTTCAACTGTTAGCTATCAGTCCTTTTTTTCGAAGCGAAGACTAGGTTGTTTAAGTAGGTTTTACGATACAAGGTCAATTTTGCTATAGCAGGACGAATTAATTAAACGAATCAATTTACAAATCGATACAAGTTTCGAAGTTTATGACAACCGTAAAACGGCAAAAAAAATTTAGCCGTTAGGCGTAAAAATTGACAAATTTCAACTGTTAGCTACAAAACAAATTAACTGTAAAAAAGTTTTTCGGAAAGAAATGAAAAGTGAGCGGTAAAAGCTACCA